CTCGCAACGTGTTTTGACTGACCGAATCATATTAACTATGTGCTGTTGTGGAACCGCCTCCCATTCTTCTGTCAAAACCGCTCAATATTTTGAGGCATTTTTTTTTCAACATTATTTTTTATAATTTGCCACAAGTTTTCAATGGGGTTAAGATCGGGGCTATTTGATGGTCAGCAATTACGTTTACCCCATTTTCTGCTAAGAAATTTTTAGTAACCCGGGAGGTATGTTTGTGATCATTGCCCTGATATCCCTTTTTTTTGTGTCTCCAGACAGTATTATGTAAAATTGCAGCCTCATACTTATTTTTCTACTTGTATTGCCAGTTGTCTTGTTGAAACAGCAGAATTGTGTCGTATATACTGACATACAGTCCTGGAATATTCAGTGTAACCTTCCGCGGACGTCCTGATTTCTTTCTATGCGCTATAGTTTGCGTTTCTTTGATTTTTTTTAGATTATATTCAATGGTTCGAATAGGAATTCCAGTGTTACGGTGAATATCTTTGGGAGATCGGATGTTATTCTGCCAGAAATGTAGTATGGTCTGACGTTGGGTTTCAAGTCGAGAATTACCATATTGCAAAGTTAATTCAAAATCAAAACGATTAAAAGTTTAAACGTAAAAGTTTGTTTACAGTTAGTGCAGAAGGTGTTTTATACAAAAATAACAAAACAAGACACGGAAACGACGCGTGTCTAAATTTATTAATAAAATAATGGTTATTCTATAAACCACAATTATTTTTGAGACACACTGTATGATGAACCAAGAAAGAAATAAAAACTTGAAGAAAGGTAAAGAGAAGCAGTTTAATGTAAAACCTGTCAACAAAAAATTGTTCCTTATGGTCTTGATAAAAGACTGCTTAATATCAAGCACATCCGTTGAGTTTTGACACAATTGCAATTAAAACGTCAAACAACGTAAATATTTTCGTAAGCATAAATTTTATTATTTCAATTATTGAATGCGCGCTCTTGAAATATAAATAATAGTAAAAGCACCAGTGGGAGGAAAATACTCGGACCCCAACGGAGATGAAATAATAGTGCAAAATTTGGATTGGGATTATTACTGAGGTTGTACAATTTGCACACATCTTGGAGTGTCCATTCAGAGAAGGATTTTGAGCTTGTGTCCTAATGCGAAAAAATTTTTTTCCAGCAAACCCGCGAAGCATTGTACGAAATAATTCATCGTCTCTGGGACAATACTGGTCGCCACCGTCAATTGCAAAGTTGAACGCGACACCTTCCAAATCTAGATCTGGCTTGGCCGCAGAAATTACCGCTTTTTTGAACTGGTCAATCGTTGCATTTTCCAAATTAATCATCCACGGTCTCGTTTCTTTCTGTCTGGGTGAACTATGAAATTGATTTCTGGAATATAGCAACGATTATATTAATAAAGAGCTCAACTAACATCCTATGTACGCGCTACTCTATGTCCCCAACGCCCGAGTCACAAAGTCGTTACCCGCTTGAGTAGCCGTCACTCTGAGCTGCAACTTCCGCACGTGTTTTCTCGTCTCGGTCACTTTATTTCTCGCTTTGGTCACTTCATCTCTCGACTTAATCCTTTCATCATTCAGTCTCTCCCTCACTCCTTCGAGCTTCTCCAATAGTTGCTCCTCCTTTTCTGTGAGCTCTGCCTCACAATGTAGTATACTATCACACTGCTTGTCCCCAACTCCGTCAGTTTCTGCCCATGTTCCCCTCCTTCAAAGTTCGTCAACGTAGCCTCATCCTTCTCTAGCTGCGCCTCTGCTTTCGTCAACGTCTGTTCTGCGTTCTTCAACGTCTGTTCTGCTTTCGTCAATGCTTCTTCTTCTACGTTCGCCATTTTTTAGTTGTGCTGCGCGATGTGATCTAATACCGTAATATACTAATGCGCGTAAGTATTACGTCAATCTTTCACATTGTCCGTTAATTTATGTGCAGCAACGCGCAATTTGAATAAACTATTTATTATCAGCACTAGTCGCTTTTTTCAGAAAAATCACGAAAATATTGTTTAAAAAGATAAAAAACCAGATCTAACAATTTTCATCAATAAACTCATGTTTACATTCACAAGTGAATTCTTTTTTGGAGTATTTATCGGCTTCGTTTTCGGCCTGTTGTTCAATGGCATAATTATAATAGCAAACTCCACAACATGGGAATATTAATCAAGACTATGAAGTCCACAAATTTTACTCGCCAGAAATCGAAAAGTTGTGGAACGACCTGATACAATTATAAAAAATTAAAAATTTTATTTAACAAAATGTGTGAACGCGATAGGCTATATCTGAGGGTTCTTCTCAGTATCGCTTCAGTGATGGGCTCAGTGTGACTAATGCTATTAATCATTTCCATAATTTAAATTAACTTAAGCTTAAAAACTTTGGTGATAAAAGTATGATGTCTGAAATAACTAATGAAGGATATAAAAGAGAAAATACAGAACCTCACTGATATATGAGTGACATTTTTTATATAATAATAATGCATGCTCTCTTTCCCAAAGATAGTAATTACCAAGATAGTCCTTTCTTAAAAGTTGGTCAAAAGAGTTGTTTGCAGTTTAAAGACAATAAGGATGTGAATACTCCTTATTCTATTCTTTGACGAGGAGAAGATTGGTAAGAATTATTCACTTACTAGTCCAAGTATTTTGCAAGCTCCTTTTCCTTGTGAAGAGAAGCATTTAACTTGGGCTTATGGTCAAGTCCCTGAATTCTTTTGACAGGTTTATAATAACCCTGAGGCCACTCAATTTACTGCCTATCATGAAGTATTAGGCCCTGATGCAGCTAGTATGGAAAGAATCCATGAAGATCTAATAACTGTTTATGAGAAAAAATTCATGGAGAAGAATTAACTAAATGAAGTTATGGTAGTGATTATTTAGATGTTAATTACAAAAATTATGTTTAAAAATCTCAAAGATACCAATTACAATGGGGATACTTTGGTTGATGTGGATGCACTTAGGAGTGAGGAAGTGTTGCTGAGGAAATTTTTTCAACATTTAGATATAGTACCTTTTCAACTTTCTCCTGTAGAGATAAAGGATTGACCTATGCTCAAATAAAAGATAAAATTATTGATTTATTGATAGTTAATAACAGCATATTCAGAAAATGAAATTGACCAATTGACTGACCCAGTGGCTGATAGTAAGAGTGTGATCAATGGATGAGATAAATGGCTGAATATTACTTATTACTGATGCAGTGGAAATAACATAATTATGTTATTCCCACTTAGTACTGTATAGGTTATCCCCCCTCAGCGTATAGGTTATTCCCCCTCAGCGTATAGGTTATTCCCCCTCAACTATGACGTGTAGATCGCAAAATTCAAGTCACTTGAGCAATTATATATCCCTAGGTGTGACGTGTAGATTGCAAAACTCAAGTCATACCATATACTCTTTAGAAAGTCAAATTCGATATCAATTTGTATCGTCATCCGAGAGCCATCAAGATATGTAAGTAGCTTGACGTGCAATTTCTATTTTTCACGTCACTCGAATGACAACTGTTGCTAATTTTTGTCATCAGGTCACATGCCAACTATTGTATGCTGGCTTAACATTCCCGATCGATTTCCGTCATTGGGTCACGTGGGCAAAAAATATATATCTGATGATTCATCCAATCATATATCGTCATTTGTGGGCCCGATGTGAGGGCTAATGCCCGAACCTGGCACGCAGTGCCTTAGTTTTCTGGTTAATTCCTCGATAAGGCCAGGTTTGAGGCACATAGTGCCGAATTGTTAGCAGTTGTTAGCTTTGCATAATTCATTCAAATATCGATTAAGGATGAGGCACGTAGTGCCGAATTGCTAACTATTATAATGCACTCGAATATCGATCACGGATGAGGCACGTAGTGCCGAATTGCTAACTATTATATGCACTCGAATATCGCGAATATAATAAAACTAAAGTATCATATTTCTGTCTTGTATTTTATTTCTCATATATCAATAAAGCTGGCCCTGGTGGTTGAATTATCGTATATTTATATACTTTGTTATTTGTGTGCGATTTTTTTTCTTTGGTAATTTACGCACATGATGTTCCTCGAACTTCTATGTCAATCCCAATCTTATGTGATTGGTTAATAATTTTTTGACCGTCAACGGTTTTTTAATTATTCACCGGGGTCACCTGCCGAAAATCATATCCACCATTCATATCAACTGTTACTTCGACGAACAATCCATAGTTGTGTGTATATAATTTCCTAGTGAAAGTTTGATTTATCGTTTCTTGATGATTAAGCAATCGCTAAAAAACTTCACTGACGTGACAATTACAAAGTTCACTAAGCGAAATCAGCGAAAGAAGTTAGCTCGATATGCCTATAAGGCGAAGCTTGAGATTCTGGTGAATCAGACAAAAGGCAAAGAAGCAACTATTATTCCAATAACGACACTGATTTCCGAATTGACGGAAAAACATACGATTAATCTTAATATCCGCGATGGGAAAGTTGAGATATTCTACAATCCAGAAAGGGTAGATTAATAAATATTACTTGGGTAGCGGGAGAGATATATAATTTCGTTATAATTAAGTAGAGCTTGAAGAAAAGGGGTAATCATTGTCTTTAAGACAGATCTAGGGGTCGATTTCTTCCACAATAGTCAGTCCCAAGTCTACATTCATCAAAAATTCTTAGAAAAAAGACGTGAAAGGCGAATTGCAAATCAAGTTCCTATTGATGGAGCGACTACCACTGCTACTGCTACTACTATTACTGCTCAAATACAAGTACGACATTACCGGGTAGGGCTCTACCCGCTCTCACACTTGCGTTTGGTCATCACTATAATTTCATTTTTCGGGAATATTATAATTATCTTCCTCTACTCAAATCTTTAATTTTTCTGACATCTCTTCAATACCAGAAAAATATATGAAGTTATTATTATTGGAGGTAAAGATATTTCGTGAACCCAATGTCTCAGAATCAATACTAATACCTCAAAATCTATGGAATGAATCTGGACAGTGGGCATGTTTGAATAAGGTTCCCTTATTTTAGAAAAAATTCTGGTATCATTCTCGACATCTGTGGTCTAAAATAAGGCATGTGTATGATCAGCATACGAAGACTCAGAAGCTCTTAGAACCAATTACTATATGGGCAAAGCTTGACCAACACATAGTCTATATCACCCTGGATTTATTTTTATTTTTCTGATATTCGCTACAAATCAAAATTGTGTGCAGACTAAAAATATTTTATTAATAGTTGCGCGTTACAGCATGTCTAAATTTGTTTTACATCAAAAATTATAAATTCTTCAATCATACCATTTTCATTGTAAATGACATCATCACAGAAAGATTTCGTCCATATCTTCTTCTGTCACAAGTGAAATGTCATCATCCGGTAGATGTAACCACTCTCTTAAATTTTCAGAACAATTGTCGGTTGGAATAAAGGAACGAATTTTCCTTTGTAATATTTCTTGTTCCACAAATTCATTTCGAATAACTGTAAAAAAATTAAAAATCTTCATATAGCATGTGATGGCATCAAACGAAAATGGAATTATACAAGAGGCCAATTCAACAGCCAAATACTTTCTTTTGTTTGCTAGAGAAACAGCAAACAATGTAAGTCGGTCTCCTATAACCTGAATGCTATAGGTTTTAACATTTTTAGCATCCTCAATGTTGCAATCAAGGTTGTTGCCAAGGAGTCGACATAGACTGCAGACAGCCATCACTAATAGTTTTTTTATGTCACCAACAGTATTAGTATGCTTTTTTGTGGATCTATACGGAGGTCCAGAAACTTCAACATTCAAAAGTTCTCTTGCGTCAGATAACCTGAGAATGAGTAAATCTGTCTTTCGTTCTCCAATATTACCCATAAACATAACGTTTGCTTCTTTGATTGATCTCACATCCTTCTCTACCCACATATACTTTATATCAGGAAACGCTTTGCGATATGCGAGGAGAATTGGTGACAGGACCTCAATGATGTAAGATCGTTCAAGCATGTCGCGGTCCATGACTTTTGGCATCAAAAACTTAAACTTTGAGACAAAGTCTAGTAATGCATATCGTATGAAGAATATAAACCTATCCTCGTCCGTTGTTTGATTATCGTCAATCTTTGTCTCTGAAATTATTTTCGATTCGACTTCAGAATATTCTGATTGAAATATTTTTTTGAGCTTTTCTACTATTACTATTGAATCTTTCATGACCAATTTGTTCCCCATTTGAAGTGTAGTTTTAACTTTTTCATAGTCTTGTTCTCCAATTGTTTTCTTGACAAGATGTATCGTTGTATTAAAAGCACAAATTATATGTGCAGAATATTCATCATATGTTGCTTTCGTAATAATGGGCTTATTAGGCGTCACCATTAAAGTACGTGTGACTGAACGAGTTGTCGGACATGGTGTGCTTTCTACATCCTCTAAATCTGATGAACCTGGACTTGAGAATTCAGTGTAACAAATCTTCTTATTTTCCTGAGTGCCATCCCATTCAAAGGCTCTCCTTCCTAATTGAAATCACACATTCGTGGTGAGAAGACATTTTTGTTGTGAGGTATACAATGGAAAAATATAACTACCTTATTTTTTGGTGTTCGTGGCTCTTGTCCACGTTGACGTTTACGTGGTGCTAGTTCATCGATTTCTTCGGTGACTAAGTTAATAGCAGAAACCGTGGTTCGTTGATGTTGGATAATTTTTTTCTGTTGAATTTCAGCGTTGTTAGATGAAATCTTCTCATCGTCACGTTTACGCTGAATGGCTTTTTTTGCGAGCTCAAGCCAGTGTTGTTTTTCGGGTCCCTTCCATTTTGAAAGTAACGTGGAGGCGTATTTAGAGACACTGTTTGGCAAATCCGAATCCTGAGTTAACGAACGCAAGCTCCGACAACAAACTGCGAAACAGTCAGATTCTGATAACCCTGGATTATTCTCCAGTAACTTGCAGACATAAGAATCTATGTTATGCCACTCTTTCATTGGTGTTGAAGTGATATAGACATCATGCAAATGACTTTTTGGTGCCACGAAATCCTTTTCATCCATAACGTAGCAATTAACAGTAGTCAGTACGCGTATCAAATACAGGGACGATATACCGCAGAAATCACGGAATGGGTTAATGAAAAACGGAAAGTATTGAGGTGAATGTCACAGAAAACAGGGTTTAAGGAATTTGGAAAACGGTGTTTAGGGGGTTTTATGTCACGGAAGACAACAGAGTTTTTTTTCGTAAAAATTTTTAAAACCCGAGACCACGTTTAATTCACAATTTTCGGATTTTGTACAGGATTTTTGATAGCACGGCATGCATGCGGAATTTTGTTTTAATCACGGCACTTTATCACCGCAGAAATCATTGACTTACGACTGCTCGGCAACCTCGCTACATAGCCCTTTTGTCGAGGGACACCGTAACCTGTATCTTGAGGGCTTTTGCTTGCTTGATAACCTCCGCTCTTGAAGTGGTTGTGGTTGCGATGCCTTTCACACTTTCCCTACGCCAACAGACCTTCGGCTCCAAGGCTTATGGACTTTCGACTCCGGGAGGTGTATTGATGAAAGGAGATTGACGAGGGGCACCGTAACTTTTGTATCTTGAGTGCTTGGGCCTCCGCTCTTGAAGTTGCGATGTCTTTCACACTTTCCCTACGCCAACAGACCTTCGGCTCCAAGGCTTATGGACTTTCGACTCCGGGAGGTGTATCGTCATTCGCCTGCTGTAGCTAACAAAAAACAGAAGTCTACTCACACACACAGCGCGTTTAGACAATCAAAATCAAATAATATCCATTGACAAAGGTAATAA